CTTTTCTTATTTATGTACTTATTTATTTTTATCTGCTAGAGGATTTTTCTATTTCTCAGCAGATCTTTCATTGTAACTATAGGATGTTTCATACGGATTTTACTCATGCACATTAGACTTTTCTATGATTAGAAAAACTTTTCTTGTTTTAATATTTTTTTTATTGATATATGGCTGTTTCTAATAGAGGACTGAGCTTCGTGAAAATCCTCTGTGAATTGAAGTACTAATGAAAAATGATGAAAAGAACATAGTTCTAATTGAGTTTTGTATAGATGAAGAAAATACTAATAAAAAAATTCGAAAGATGAAGGATTAATTAACTATTAAGACTATGGTCTTTACAACGGATTCAATATTAAAGGATGTATCTTATTAAGAGTGATATAGAGCACAGAGGATTGATAAAAAAAAGTAGATATGATGATAAAGATGTTCTACAAAATTTTCAGTGTACTACAAGGAAAATCAACTATAATCAAATTTTAGTTTTTTATAGATTTTTCTTATAATTAGTGAAATATATATGATGTTAATCGAGTGTTATACAGGTGAATTCATTTCAATCTGTTTTTGTAACATTATTTCGTATGAAATGAATAATATTTTGAAAAAGAAAGAACTATCATTGTGAAAGAGTTCAGCCCGTGTGAGTTGATTAACTAGTTTTGTATCATGATGCTGACTTATTGAACTACCAGAACGCAAAACAAAACTAACTACCGAATTATAAACAAGTCCTTTCTCTCAACCCATATTACGAAAATCGTATAGTTTCACTACGATAATTAATGTATTTGAAAAAAATAGAACTATTTCCAAAGATGTACGTTTTTCCATTCCATACTTCGATATATATCTTGATCATAAATAACCAAAACAAAACATCTACAAAGAAAAAAATTCATCTGGTCATCCTATGTACACCACATATATATATTATTTCTATAGTGACCTTCAATTTATTTAACCATTTGTTATATTGTTTTAAATGACTCAATATATGCGATAATAAAAAAACTCGTAGAAGAACAGAAAAATCCTCAATACAATAGAAAAATCCGCTAGATCATAATATGTGTAATATATATCTCTCTGTATATATATACATATACTATTCGTCTAGTTGTCTTGAAGTTAGTAAAACATTTCTTATATTCTTTTAAAAGAATAAATGCACGTGAAAAGGAAAAATCCTTCATATAATAGAAAAATCCGCTGAAAAAAAGTAAAATCGATCAGTTAGGTATCTATATATTTGTCGTTCCTGTAACGATGTATATATATCATATTTTATTTGGGATGATAAGTCCGTTACATTCATAGAGGACTTTAGGTAAAATGGACATTTTTTAGACTGTTGACATTGCTGGACCCATTTGATAAAATAGTCGAAAATCAACGTTCGAATTTTAACGTGAAACTTCGACTAGTGTATATACTCCGTAATTATGGAATCAAAGTCAGATTAAAATGAATTAGACATGAGACCAAACAGAACAATTCAATATTCTCTAATTCAAAGCGAACCATCTTATAAATTACAACTATCAATATAAGTAGTATTCATCAATTGAATTAAAAAAATCTTAGTTTTTACCAAATGCGTAGCCAGAAGGGGCGCACCCCCCTTAACCGAAAAATATCTGAAGGGAAATACTAGTAAAGAATCTTGTCACAAGACAAGAAATTATTTCCCAACTGATGTACACCTCCCATGCAAAATTCTTGGCTACGCCCCTAGTTTTTACATATAATATACATAAAAGTGTAAATTTGATTTACCCATTGTATGAATAGTATTTTGTATCCATGGTCTTTCATCATCATTAGCTATTTGATGATTAGCTATAAGCCAAAGAAGTATATGTACAAGTGTTCCATATGAAACATGAGTTAAATAATTAATTAATTGTAAAACAGTTTGTTTTGTTTCTTCTAATGATAATGATTGAAGTTCTTCTAAGAAATAAATTGTTTTTGATAAATATTCAATATTTGAATATTTTATTTGAATATTTTCAGCATTAAAACATTTAATATCCATTAGAAATTCTTCTTTTTCTGTGACAGATATTTCATTTACTGAATTATTTGTTATTGAAAGAAAATCACTTGAATATAATGATGATGCAAATAATGCATGACCAATATAACGTGATAACCAATATTTTTTTAACCATATATAAACAAAAGATATGGATGATGATGAATCACAATTGATTTCTATGTGACCAAAATCTTCTGATGTATCATCTGTAATTGATGTTACATAACAAAGTAAACATAGAGCAAGATCAAATCGTATTTGAGTATATGATAAAAGTAAACGAATAAATTCATAATATTGATCAAGTGCACATATTAATGGAATAAAATCAGTTAAATTGCTAATTAATACTTCAAGATTTTGTTCTTCATTTGGTGTTGAAAATATTTGATGTAAAGTATTTTCTAAGGAACGTTGTAAAGTAAGAACTTGAAATGAATAGGAATCTATTAAAATAAAAAATTCATTACATATTTTATCGAATTGCAAGATCTTTAAAAAAAATGAAACGAACGTGTTTGATGATTTTGATAATATTTTTGAATTTGTTGATTGTATGGTTGACGAATTTGTTGAATATAAAAAATTAATTTATTAATTTTATCTTCATTTGCTATTCGAATATCATTATTTGTATAGTTTAATGTTGTTTGAAAAACTTGTTCCATTACATTTTCTAAACATAATTCATCCATTCGATTAAGTATATATTCATTGTGTAATAAAAATGTTTCGATAGATTGTTTAACAGCATCAAATTGTGTTTCAAGACATGATGCTAATATACGTGGTAATTGAAAATAAATATATGCTGACCAACGTTGTTGATATTCACTATTATTTGTTGATACTGATGAAACATAACCACCAAATGATGCTTGAAGAAAACGAAGATATATTAACGATGGATTTGTTGTACAAGAAACATGTTCATAGAAACGAAGAATTAATAAAAGAATCGATGATGATTTATGAAGTTGATTAATAACAAGTAGAGAAACAAGTGGATTAAAAATTGAAACATTAAATTCAATATCTTCTTGATGAAATTCTTCAGATAAATGAAGACGAGCTATTCTAAATAATAAATTTATATTTTTTCATTGACATATTTTATTGATACAACAAAACACTTAAAGTCATACAAGTATCGCTCAGCTCTTTCTCGTAAAAATGATGTGTCTTAACTATCAGTAAACTGTTTATTCAAACAATTTCAAAAACTGACTTCAGCTTTGAATTCCACGATCTTGATAATCGTTCGGTCTACCCTTATAAAAGAATTTTTTTTGTAAAAAGAGTGGTCCTTTGTGTAAGAAAATGATCTGCAAAAAACTAACATCAGATTCGAAGTTCCTGCTTCGAAATACCTCAGGAAATGTCTTTCCCAAAAATTGCTCTTCGATGTTCTTTTGACCCTGAGGACATACAAGCAATCGAGCAAACAATTTCTTTCTGTTGGACTCTTCTCTACGCGAAAGAGAATAGGATAAGAATAAAAAATTAATCTTCCTTTTAGTTTTATAACCATATCATAGGAGTTCGCACAAATTTTCATTGAAAATTCTCTTACTTAAAAATAACTTGTTCATAAACATCTGGTCTATTAGTTTCTTCAATTGGCATTTTCATTGAGATTTGTTTTAATTTTTCTTGAATTTGTTTCCATTCTAATTGTTCTCTTTGTCCTTTAATTGTCATTAACCAAAGACAATAATAACTTGTATTTGTAAATAATAAAAGAAAGAAATTGGAAATTAATGTAAGCATTTCTTTTCTTTTACTATCCACTTCGTCATTTATATCTGATACATCAGAATAAACACATAATGCTGAACAAAGCCATTTAGCAAGTAAATTTAATTGTTTTCCAAGACGAACTCCTTGATCAGCAATGATATGCATTGTTTTAAGAGTTTCATATAGTAACTCAATTAGAAATTTAATTTGTATATCATCTGTTCCTATTGATGATGTTGGTGTTAAAGAAAGAAGATGTTCAATAATTAATGATTCATTAACATAACCACATCTTGTATGAAATTTAAAATAGGATTGAAGAAGATCAGAAGATATTGCTGAATCAATATGTGCAAGAATTTGTGCTAAAGATAATTGTAGGAAATATAATTTTTTCTTTAATAGATTTTTGTGTTTCTTACTTGTAAATAATGTTCGAAATTCTTCTTCTGATCGACATTGTGTAATTAATGATGAAAGTGAAGCGGAAAAACTAGTTACATTAGAACGTAGTTTCCAAGCTTCAATTAATTTTTCTTTTAACATATCGCTATCGAATGGCATCTTATAATTACATATGAAAATGAATAAATCTGAAAAACGATATTTATTTATTAATTATCACCGAGTTGAAAGAAAAAGATTACAATTAAATAAAGATATTAGATTAGTAAAAATATAAAAAAAATAATTCTGTAATTATTGACTAGTTAATGATCACGTTCTTCTGGTGGTCGATAAGGTAAATTAAGATATTTAAAAATAGATTCTTCTGTTGGAGTGTATAATGGTGTGCCCGTATTGATTTTTGAATTATTCTAAATATTTGAAATAAATATGCATAGAAAAAATAAGAAAGATAAATTTTACCTTACGAATAACACCAGTATTAAGACGATGTTGAGATAAATACCTTGAAAAATGAAATTTTAATTTAAAAAGAAAAAAACGAAGAAAATCAAGTATAAATTACATGTTATATCGATGTGCTAAAGCTCTCATTGATCGATTAAATAATGCACTACCAGTAAAATAAAGTAAAGCACAAGCATATTCATCATGTGGAATAATAATAATATCAAGACGACGATGCTTTAAAAGAAATATTATTAGTATTATTTCTTCTTTCATATTTAAAAAATCTTTACTTTTCTATTTTCACCGGGCAAAAGACAAACACCATAATATTTCACATGAGAACTATGAAAAAAAATACAAATAATAAATTTATGATATAATTAAAATCACTATTTTCTTCTACAGCACTACGATAAACTACTGAATTTTATATTAAAAGAATTTAATGTTATTACTAAAGATTTTTCTATATGTTTAGTAACGTTAGAAACTATTCATATTTCATAAGATAAAAACCTTTGTTCGTATACGATATTAACAAATACTAAAAATGAAAAATTTACAAACACATATAATTGTAATTAAAATTATAGAGAAATATTCTGCTTCCTTTTTAACACTGATATTTTATGTGACCTATGCTAAATTGAAAAGTTTTACATACCCGCTATCTTCTTCATATTTATCCGATGATGATAGGACAAGATCATCCGTTAAAAATCCTAAAATTTTGTTTTTTATAAAAATGAAAAAATCGAATTATTTAATGGAGAAACATACCAGATTTTTTTAAGGAATCAATTAATGGAATAAGAAGCCCTTCATGTGATATTCCATCGATATGGGTAATTAAAATATCAACATCTCCACAAGTTGGTTTACCACGACGATATGAACCACATGTTTGAATAATAAGATCAGGTACTAATGCAAGTGCATGTTCTTTTACCTAAAAATAGTGTTTCAAATAAAATGAATAATTTAATATCTGATAGAGATTTACCACAGCTTCGATTTCACAAACTTCATTTCGTGGCATTCGTTCAAGAAATTCATCATAATATTTTAATCCAACTTGTTGATTATCTGATAATTTTGCTTTTGTACGAAGATCATCAAGTGTACGAAAACCCTGATTTTGAAAATGAAAAAACTCTCTAAAAACTTTCAAAAATAAAATAAATGTTTTACCTGATCATACCATTGTTTAGCAATATTTGGTCCACATCCCCATACATTACCAAATAAAGTTATAACATTCATATATTCAGATGATTGAAAATCTTCAAGTTTTTCAAAACTACCTGTATCAATTATTTCCCAAATCTTTTTAGCTAAACTTTCACCAATACCAGGTAATTTAATTATTTCCTAAAATCCCAAAAAAACAAAGATATACATATGTTTCATGATTTTCTTTTCTACTTCATATGAATTAATTCGATGTGTACATCGACGAATAGTTGTAATTGCTTTTTGATATGAGTATGCACGCCATTTATCTAAGTAAAATTATACAAAAAATGATTGTCTGATATATTTTATGTCATACCATTTGTCTTTCCATAGAGATCTCCCATTGCTTGAAGTTTATCAATAATATCTTTATTAATTTCCGTATTCTTTTTTGCTGTTTGAGAAGACATTGAGCACATCCAATTACCTTTCTATATATATATATCAACAAACCATTTATCATACATAAGAAAAATATTTTACATACTGGTAATTCACCATTTTTATATGGATTTTTAACTGTATCATTATAATCCTAGATAAATAAAGTAATTAAAATTAAAAATTTCGTAATCTTTTCGTTTACTAACATCCATTATATCATGATCTTGATCTTCATCAGATGAATAACGTCTTTGTTTAACTTGTGTAGCACATCCACCTTGAGGTGCATCATCGGATAATCTTCGTTTAGGTTTATTTCGAATAAAATTTTTTTCTTCTACAGCTGGTTGTTGGGAAAATGATGGCATTGCTTTTTTTCGTATAAGAAGTGGACGAATAATATAATCTTTTGTTAATGGAACTAAATGTTTTTCTTTTAATGAATCACTTAACCATTTTGTTTGAATAATAATTGGTGGTGGTTTTTCAATATAATCTGTTGGATTTAATTTTAATAATGGATATACTTTCGATACATCGAATTGTTCATCAACAATAATAAAACGAGCATTCTCAGGTGATGTTAATAATTGAAGATGAAAACGTACAAAAGCATTTGTAAATATTATACGACGATCTTTACCAATACCATTTGGTAAAAAATAAAATGTGGCATTTGGATCAGATGGAATAAAATCAACTGATGCAATATTTTCATCAAAATCATTCGTTGTTAAGAGAGCAGACATAATTAAAAACAAGAATAGATATTAGTTACAATAAAAATTTTAATTGTAATTACATCGGAATCATGAAATATAGGTTAAAAATCTTTATTTTCATAGGGAATGAGTCATACTCAAAAACATTTGCTTAGCTGTTCGTCATGTCTCTCCCTCTTTTTTTTTCCTTTCTATTTCTTTAGCCAGTCACTCAGACTCGTAATGACAACGATAGATGGAGTTAGTTGTTACTGGATATTCCGATGTAAAAAGTATATAGTGTAGGTTATATACCTTTTTCGATTCGATATCATTTTATGTTTATCTCTCTTCATACGTTTACTTCATTATAAATAAATAAATATGTCTGAAGTCCCCGAGCAAGCAACTAAACCAAGTGGTAATTGGTCTCAATTATTATTAAATAAAGTTGTTTTCGTCACTGGTGCTGGTGGAGCTATAGGTTCATCAATTGCACAAACATGTGCAGCACACGGTGCGCGTGTTATTATTGCTGATGTTAATAAAAATGCAGCTGATCAAACTCTAACAAAAATTATTACTGAAGATCCAAATAAGAAAGATAATGTCATAAGTATTGAACTTGATGTAACTAATGAAGATTCAATTCAACAAGCAGTCAATCATGTTGTTGATAAATGGAATACAATTGATATTCTTATTAATAAGTATATAATTAATATAATATTAATTTATCAATTATTAATCTTTGATTTTATTTTGAAGTGCTGCTATTTTTACATTTGGCGCAGTTGAAGATGTTACTGCAGATGCATGGACACGAGTATTAGATGTAAATGTTCGTGGTTATGCCTTGATGGCTAAAGCTGTTGTTCCTTTATTGAAAAAACAAAGATCAGGTTCAATTATTCAAATGGCTAGTATTAGTAGTTGGATTGGTCAAGCTGAGTTTGTACCATATAATACAACGAAAGGTGCTGTTTTACAAATGACACGTAATTTAGCACTTGATCTAGGTCCATTTAATATTCGATGTAATGCTGTATGCCCTGGTGCAACACTTACACCAGCTTCATCAAATCATGCAGCACATTTAAATATAACATTAGATCAACTTGTTGAAGAACAAGTACAAAAACAATGTTTAAAAAAATGGGCATCAACACAAGAAATAGCTAATTTTACTGTATTTTTAGCATCGGATTTATGTCATTTTGCAACAGGTGCTAGTTTTCTAGTAGATGGAGGTTATACAACTATATAGAACGATTGATTTTTTTTCAAGTATATTATTAATTAATATATTACATCCATAAAGATTACAAATTAGATTTGAAAACTTTTAATCACATTTTTTTTAATTTTGTTCAATCGATCATATATGTCAAAATAAAAAAAATCGAAATCAAGACATAGGATAAACAGAAGAGAAAATATAACATATTGAATTATTCATTTATTTAAATAACTCATTATAACATTAAAAATTATATGTACAATAACAAAATCAAACAAAAGCTATGAGTGTGTTTACGTCAATCTTATCAGGACCAATCGTTGATAATCTATCTTGCTGTGCCATTGATTCTTTAATTGTACCTAAAAGTTCTCGTGGTCCTTTTACAATTGTTCGTTCATGAATAATTTCCGTTACATTGCTGGGTATTCCATTTAATTCCATTGCTGATGTTTGTGTACCTTCTGTTCGATCTGTCTGTGTTGTATTTTCATTATTTCTATGATATGATGGAGGCACAAATTTATCTGATGTATTGACACCCATATCAACTAGATTAGATCGATCTGGAATCGGATAACCAAGTGAATGTTGATGTACATGATGGAAATAATGTGGATGATAATGATGAGGACCATAAGAAGGAGGATTAGATTCATTATTAGCTACTTGTGATCCTTGAATTTGAGTAACAGATGATTTGGGTTTTTCTTCTTTATCTTTAGATATTTGTTGAGGGCGTCGCATGGCTAAAGCTCTTTGTCTAGCTTGATTTTCTTGTAACATTCTATATTTTGCTAATTCTTCATATTCTTTTCTATTGCTATCATTACAACAATCAAGTGAGACGATAACAATCGTAACAATAACTAAACTGCCGGCACCACATATACCATATAATTTAATGACTTGTTCTGTTGTAGTATCTATTCATATAGAAGAAAATAAGTAACAAAAGTGAAAAACCTGTGAAAATATTTACCCGCAACAAAGTAAAGAATTGATAATACAAGACTTATGAAGGCAATAAGAAACAAGATAGTAATACAAATATACCAGAATACTGTTGCAGCTATGATGAAAAAAAAAAGTAATAGATGTAAACAGAATATGGTATCCAAGGATAAAGTAGGACAAAAAGTAAATCATCTATTTTCTTCTTTTTTCTTACCTCTTGTGAGACCAAATGCTCCACTTAGTGTTGGTTGATCAGCAGGAATCTATTGTCAAATATATGAAACAAAGATGTAATTCAGAAATCTTGAAATGCATTGTTATAGTTAATAATTTGGAATGATGAAAGTTCTTATTTCTTCTTTGATCCTTATTAATGTTAATCATTCATTTGTACGTACCTGATTATTATTATTATCATTATCAATAATTAAACTATTTGCACTAATAGTATCACCACGATTCATTGTTGTTGTTGTACGGTCGTTAACACTATATTAGATCATTAATATTAAAACGTTTATTCTTTAAAGCTCGACATTTATTTACCTGTCACCAGCACCTTTCATTTTTTCGTTTTAATTTCTGCATCACTTTTTTTTCTTTTACTTACATTATTTACGTAAGCTTGAAAAATGGAAGCGTAAAGATGCGAAATAAAGAGTTGACAACCTTTTCTTTTCGATCATTTAATAAATACAAAGAAAAACATTCAAAGTACATACTAGAAAAAGAAAACTATTAAAAAGAAGAATAAAAACTTATACAGATTCAACAAGTTTTTTGTTTGATAGATTTCTTATTGAGTTGTAAAAAAAACTCCGAATGATTTTAATGATCAACTTTTAAGCGATAAATGATTATCATATCTATCACTACTACAACAATGTTGCTTAATAATAATAATAACAACAACGTATAATTGAATTCTTTCTTCTTCTTTTTTTCGGAAGCAATCTTAAAACAGATAGAAGGATTGATGTCTTTAGACAAGCGTATAATTTCAATTTGTTCTCTACTCTCTTGTTTCGCTATGGTTCTTATCGAAAAAAAAAGAGCGGAACCTTGCACACGAGATTGTAATCAATCCAAAATATATTTTATCATAAATCATGTCTTTTCCAATGACAAAAATATTCTTATTTCCTAATAATAATATAAGCAATAAAAAAAACTGGTATATATACAATTTATTTCTTTTTTATTGGAATAGTTAGTTCTTCAGTTGTTGATCAATCACTAAATAGATATACTGACGTCTCTCATGTATATGCACATCATAATAAGATAATTTCATCAACATCATAATCAACTGCCTGTTTAGCGTTCTTGCGTTTTTAAGCTTGTCATTAGTTTTCCACACTGTCGATTAGCATATATATATATATTTGTCTTCCTTGTTCTCTACTTCTTCTATTATGTTATTCTTGATGATGATTGTGCCAAGGGCCATTCACTAAAAGAAAGGAATAATATTTGTCGTTTTTTTATACATATATATATATTGTTCTTACA